CTGAATGCCCTATAACCTGCTTTTTCTATGTGCTCTTTAGTCCCTTCAACAAACCGATTCTACAGAATGGGAAGATCACGGACGAACCCTATTTGAGACCGCGCTTACCATTAAGTTAAATCCACGACGACTTAAGAAGTGAGTTGTCTTAACTTTTTTTGCATTCATTTTGTCTCGATAACAAAATATCAAATGCACTTTTCATACCCGATCTATCTCACTTACATTAATTATTTCGAAATCTATCTTGTCGTCAAATGAGAATCGGTTTACAAATTATTGCCGCTTTAACAATATATTTATTTATTTCAAATGGCAGGCGTTTTGATAGCTATCATTAGCCATTTAGCTGACTTCGGGCTTCACAGAGGGAAGGTTCATCAAAGTAGAAGAAAGTCGAGGGGTAGGGAACAGAAGAGCAATTCACAGATGTAAAAGAGGCAGACAGACACAAAGGTAGAGAAAAATGTAAGATGAGTACTGTGAAAGGGGTCGAATATGGCAAGCAGTCGGGCCATGGTAGTTTGAAGTGAGAAGTCAACTGCCGGTTAATAGACTTTTTGCCGTATGGTTATACGTTGCCCAGGGTGCACCACGTGGAGGTAAGTCTATCGCACACCCCGCTTTAACAATATATATATATATATATAACCGCTAGTGGCTTATATTGACTCAAACTCAGAGAGATGTGGGCAGAAGGCAAACCCAATAATTGGTTATTCGATGAGTGGGTCGTAAATAGGTATTCCAACGCGCATTAGTTGCATATTTGGTAGTCTATTTTCGTTGTAAACAAGAATACCAGAAGTTGGTTGTTATTAGAATTATGATGTACTATGTTGCATAGAGCGGAGGTGCAGCAGTCTCTTCAACGTCAGGTACTTACTCCAAGGCTATACGTCGTAGAGTGCTTTCCTTTTTGGTGGTCTAATTACTGCTTCAATATCTTTTTTTGTAATTAACTTCAAATTGCATTACTAGTAGTAGTTCACACCGCGGGAAGGTTTTTCAAGGCCTGCGAACATCATGTGATAAGTCGGTGTTTACAACTATGGAAAAGTAAAGTTGGCCTCGATTTGTATAAAATCGAGCAAACTCTCTGTGCGATATAAGCCGTGCAAGCTATGAAGTAAACTGAAATTTATTGCAGGGAAAATAAAATTTATTTTTTATGCATTTGCCACTGTTCCAACTTTTCACATAGATTGAATGGGCGAGTAACTGTAGGCCTATTCAGGTTTAATATGCATTGAAAGCCTAGATTTTTTGCTAAATACGCTCATCTTACTCCGTGAATTTTGAGGCGGTACGCACTGGCGGGCTTGTCCTATCAGTTAATGTTATTCAAGAGGGGTGGAGTGTGTGTGTTCCCCTTCAGTGGGTCTCCGAGATGCCACTCTGTGCCCAAAATGAGTGCCCAAGAAGGCTTTAATTCAATAAATGTATGAATCATTGTCTCTCTCTCTCTCTCCATGTTTTCGCATTGGATTTTCACCAAGTGTTGATTTCGCTACCTATTGCTTGCTTCCGGAATTCCCAGAATCGTGTTTTTTTGACTCTAGTCGCTATATTGCGTTAAAATCTCATCTCGAAAGTCCCTTTTTCTATCGCAAAATCATGGGGAGATATAAATTTATATCTCCTTTATTGGAATCTGTCAATTTCCAACATATGCGTAAAATTGAAACAAAATGTTGTGTGTGTATGATTGGCAAGTCAGTCCTGATTTATGGGCTCGTTAATTGAATTTTTTTGTGCTGAACTAGCTACGAGTTTTTTATTCAAAATCCCATTAACAGGCACTGTTGACTAAGCACCTGCAAGAATCACTGCTTCGTGGACATTTCCCACGTTTTCCTTGGATCTCATTCGTCTAAAAATGATTATACTTGCTTTGGTTTTTACTTTTACCTCCTGGATCAGAACCGTCAAAAATTAAAATCAATCTCTCTCTCTCTCTTTTGCCCTTTCAGACTCAGAAATGAGTACATTGCCGCACGAAGTCAAGAACAGGCCGAACAGATAGAAGTCAGGGTAGGTCATTATGTTTTCGCTATAGGTTTTTTTGTTTACACAGAAACATTACATTGAGAAATCGGTTGGTGCCCGAGGTTCTCATGTCTCACACTTGCTTAACTAATTTGTCTTCAATTGTGTGGTTTTGAATGTGTGCCATTTTCACGTTTCTTTTTGCTATCTTAATCGCCACCGTTTTCCTGTTGTTTCAGCGGCTACGGACGGAGAATGGACTTCTTTTACAGCGGTTAGCGCGGTTGGAGGAGGTGAGTGTTGCTCTTTTGGACTTGCTCACGTTTTCTCCTCGCTTTTGGCTTTGCAGCTTATTCGTTTAAGTTTAATGCGTTCAACTTTCTTGAGTTAGTAATAAGCCACAAATAGAAAACCGATCCGTGTCAATACCAATAGATTATTGGATATTGGTGATCATCGATTAGTGTTTGATATGAAGGATTTCGATTTACCTTACTCGTTTACCAAATTTGTATTAACCACACGAGAGTACCACTACTGAAAGAGCATACGCCTGGCAGACAGTATGCGTACTGCAAAGGTGGTGAGGGTGGAGAATGGTGTCGGATCAACTATTCTTAATTCCTCGATTGACTAGGGAATCACTTTCCTCGGCATATGAAGGCGGGGGGTAAAAGTGGTTCTTATGGCGTAGATGTGCAATGCGTTAGCTTTTGCAAGCCAATTTTGAAAGTGGCAATTAGCAGACACCGGCCAAGTGGCATTCTCCTTTTTGTTGCCATTAACGCATCACTGGTTTTGTGTGCATTCTTCGCAGGCCTTCCTGGCCATAGCAGCCTCGCCTTCGCAACACCTTTTAGCCATAAATGGCTCTGGTGGTATTTTAGAATAATTGCCTTTTAATAACATTTCGCATTCCAAGAATATTTTTGCATTTCATTGTGGCGTTTGGGTGAATCTTGCCTACTTTAGATTAGCAATAGATTAGCCCTACTTCACTGCTAATATTCGGACCTCAGCTTGGAGATTTAGCTTCCATTAAATTGCTTTACCCGTGTAAAAGTATTGCTTTAAACCACGTGTAATAATGAATAATCATTGATATGTCTATGTTAATGATTTTAATTGGATTTTCATGAACTTCAGACAATACATATTAACAGGTATTCTAATTTCATTTCTACTTTTAGTAGTTGTCTCGACTCTCCGACTTAAATCTAACCCCGCTCTGCCAATTGTCGCAATAGTGACTTACTTATCACAAAGATACCGCCCTTATGGCGTTTCTTTTGTTATAAATAGCCTGTCACCTGCTCTCTATTCCTATCTTGTGCCAATTTAGTTTGTAAGGCTGTGAAAGTAGACGATTTAGCCCTCGTTTGCTCCGTCTCTTACGCATCGGCAACTCTTTTTTCCCCATGTAGTCGGGCAAGATTTGCAGTGCGTAAAAGCAAAGCGTAGTGAATTTTATTCCATGTCATTAACTCGCCGTGTCACCTCTTTTGTATGCCTTGCAATTCGCGTCTGTTCTCTGTTGCGATCGCTTTCGGAAAGTTTAATTGAAGGTTGAAACCAACTGTGAAATGTTGTCCTGAATGTGTCTTGTGTCTTCACGGTGTCTCCGCGTTCTATTGGCTGTGAATCGATCGTCATTTTCGGGACTGTATGCGTTTCTGCTTATCTATAATCTGAGTCTCTGGTTTGAGCAGTTGATATTCATCTTGTCATCCGGATTCGGCAAAAGCCCCTCCTTAATTTGTAATTTAAATATTACTGATTAAGTAAGACCCACCTTCACCATTACTCCCTGAGCGTCATATTATTTGTACAGGAGAAGGGTGATTCGTAATAATCTTCGAAAATGAAACATTTTTTCAACTTACAAATCGTAATAGCTCACATACCAGACCAACTTTAAATTGCATTAGCAAAATCTAGGGGACAACTCCGTTGCTATTGTTATTAATAATGTAGAGTATGTTAATTATGCAATCTGATTAGCCTAATTAAAAATACGATTTGCTCTGATGGAATTACTTAGGCGAAACATTAACTGGTATTATTCCCTCATCATTATCCGTTTTTAATTGAATTGCTTCAAAAAAAGAACATTCAAAGTGTCTCTGCAGTAATTATACTGACTATGCATTGATTGTCTCTAGACTAGCGCCTTAAACTCCCTTTAAGTCTACTATTACATTTTTCTAGCCTGAATCACATTGGCGAGTTTCATTCGTGAAAATTATTACTGAAATCGTCGTGACTTTCTTAGGCATACCCCTTTATCCGTCGTCAAATTCGGTGATATTTTAGCCAACTCCTAACGAAATTGACTTGAAATGAATTTATAAACCGCCGGATGGTTGGAGATATTTCGAAGTAATTCCCTTTCTCCCAAATCTTTATATATGTTGGTCTTTGTACTTACTATTAGAATGCGAATTTATCCTGGTTGTAGAATGAACCTAACCAAATCTCTTTCTCTTTCTGCAGGATAATACTTATCTGACAAAGCAGTTAGTGGACTGTAATCTCGAGAGAGCTCAACTTAACGAAGAGGTTTCTCGACTACGAGGTTACATTGCACGATGGCAGTCTGCACAAGAAGAGGCCGCATCTTTACGAACACCAACTTCCGATTCCTCAGCCCAACAACAATCTTCTGAAGCTTCCATTCTCCCTTTAGAAACAGATTCACAGGAAGGAACCAAGGTGACTACTAAGTTGTTAAACGGTGGTACTCAGATCGTTGTTTGAGTGGTCTGCTGGCGGTTCCACAAAAGCTGCTCATTTGCATGTCTTTCACCAAATTCCTCCCCCTCTCCCCCTCCTCCTCCTCCTCCACCTCCTCTCCTTTATTTTCTTCCAAGACTTTACGTGTCTGTGATCGCATATTTGCTTCGCCTTCATCCTCCGTCTGCCTTTTACCCTTTTCATGCTTTTTTGCATGTGAATAAAAGATTCTGCATGGCTTTTGTTTGTCTGCTTGTAATTTTGTAAACATGGTATTTGTTTTGTTTTTTTCTTTTGCTTAGTGATAACGAGTTTAGGGGTGAAATTAGCCCTAGTTTGTATTCTAATTTTAACTAAATTATAACAGCGGAATTGTACTTTACTATCCAGTAATTTGCATGCTATCAATCTAAATTACAAATTAATTCTCTTACATCAATTAAATAGATTTCTGTCGACGTTTGCTATCTTTTTGCGAAGTGAAGAGTAGTTTCAACCTAGTCGCAAGTTCACTTGGTGGCTGTTTTTTGCGATGTAACAAAAAGCAGAAATTTGACTTTATCAAGGGGGCCATTAAATGTCAGCTAATCGATTATTTGTCTAAGAATAAATTACCATGTGGACAAAGAAAGATAGACATGCTTTGTCTATAACATTGAGTGCGTTTGCATAATTCATTAACAGACAAGGTAACATTTTAATTGAATTAATGCTTGTTATATTTGGCCCTCCGAATTAAATTATGAAGATAGGATAGCGTGAAAATTCGTACTTATACAATAAACCTATTGCAATTTTCAACGTCATTTAGACCGCTTTTCATTCGGTCCTATTTTACCAAAGTCATAAATTAGATGTGTCATCGCGTTGGGAATCTTAATTAAAGTTGACAGAAATATATCAACTTTTCTCTTATTATTTATAATTTCGTTTCACTGTTGGTGCTAAAAAGCTTACAAACTCAAGATATTACTTATTGGTCGTCTATATACATATATAATGGTTCTACTTAGTAGTGAGTGATTGCCGTCATATTTTACTGTCAAATATTCAGCTGCCAATGACATTTGAAATATGCCTCTCATCAGAGTGCAAGGAGATTCATATCTTTTAAAGGTCGTTTTTTTCAGTCCCAGATCCTCACTCCTTAAGCAATGTAAGACATGGTACTTTCGGGTCTTGATAGATTAAATCTCATTTACAGTAAATGGTCTCTGACATTACTCTCTGGCTAGTTCATGATGGATATCTGCCATTTGCGAATGTTCGAGTCATTAATTTGCGATTAGAGAAACCATTACTAGAGCTGCTTCAATTGCAAAGCTTCTGCTTTCTTCATCGCATAATTTCCCCAGGTCAAGAAGTGAGTTCTTGATATTAGAAGTAGAATTATTAATGAACAGGTAATCATAGTGTAATCCTACTCGTAAGGTCTAGGGTCATGCAAATTGTTTTATTAACGTTAGGATCATGCCTACACTGTCAAGTGGTACAAGCTCTATGAGACTTACTTTCTACGATGGTGCGATATGACCTGTCAGGACTCTAATGTATAAGGCGCATGCATAAAACATAGTGAGATGGATATTTGAGTCATTCATCGCAGGCTTTAACAATTTGTTTCTTACTAAAACAACTAGACTCCAACAGCCTCGCCACGAAATTTGAATAGGCAAATAAGGGAATCGGAACCAATCACAGCAACCACAACAGGAGCAGCTAGTACGTCTGGAGCTGAATCATGGACGTCTATTTCAACCTCTTTCTCCCCGGTGTCCATTGGTAGAAGTTGCGATGAGCGTCTTCTTGTTGATACAATCCATCAACTCGAGACGGATCTTGTTCACCTTCGAGTTAGGGAATCTGAGTGCCACTCTGCTCTTCGAGATGCGAAGGAAAGGATTCAGACTCTCGAAGAGGTAGGTTGTCTCTCTAGTTCTAAATGGATCTTACATTCGGTAATAAAATGCAACAAGTAATTTATTATTCGACCAAGCCAAATGTTTGTTTTTGCTTCATCTGAATCCAGTTCTAAGTTTAAAAGGTTGCGTTTGCGAAAGCCAAAACTTGACTCTCTAACGCTAGAACTCCCCGATCTTTGTCCTAATTTCCTGACTTGATTGATTCAACGGAAGTATACATTAGGTCAATACTGGACTGCAATCTACGAGCAAAGTGCCCAAAGTTGATGCTGGAATATAGAATCTAAGTTTACAAGCTCAATTTTAAAGGGCTTTAATACCTTCTTGACCTCTTATTTTTATATTTTTAGAAAACTAGAAGATTAATAGGCATTAATTAAGATAAAACTGAGGGATTGTACTAATACCTGTTGCGTGTCAGCAGTTACAATAGCAAATACAGATAAAGAGTTGACCTCAAGAAACTAGCAACAACTTGCACTAACTTTAATTTACGTCATGTGTTCAATTATCTCTCTACTTTAACAGAAACTTGAGTTAGCCAAGCGTGAACCAGAAGAGCAGATTGAGGTACTCCATAGTGAGTTGATGAAAGTGAAACTTCGTGAAGCTGAGGGTCTACTGAAGCAGAAGGAGCTACGAGATCGAGTGGAAGAAATTCAAACCCTCTGGGAGAATCATCTTGCTCTGACTTCTGGAAGTGGCGTCGTGGTAAAGGTGGAAAGTTCTGGAGCATCCCAATCGAGCGGATTTCTTAGGGCGAGTGCAGGTCTAATTCAATCCAAATTGCGAGGGAAGACAACGGTTGCTTCTGTTGCTGATAATGCCCAACACCTATCGGATCGTTTACTGGAGACAAAGCTCAGTTGTCAGATTGCTGAACTGCAGCAGAAGGTAATGCCGTACTCTTTATTCAACTTTCTTTCAATCCTCTTTCACTTGGGTGGGTTACAACTAACTTACCGAGACTACAAATACCAAACATTTTAAATATTCCAGTCATTAAATAATCCAGTGACTAACGTTTTTGGTTCTTAATAAGCGAACTCAATGATAAATTATCGTAAGATGAATAATATACAATGTAGGTGCTTCTCATTGTGAAGTGCACGCAATAAACCAGGTGGTACACCTCTTGACTAGGTCGAGTTTGAGTACATCACTCCGGTTCCAAATGTTCAGATAGACCAACAGGCAAAGTTTACTAATACTGGAATGGACTCATACTCAAGTGTTCTCATTCCAAAGGAGAGAAGATGCGAAATTTGTCGGGTGTAAGTAAATAAATTTTGACCAAGAAGAAAGTACCCCTTGCAATCCATTAAAAAGTTTGCTCAAGTTTAACATAGTTGTCAAAATGTGTTAAATTATAAGACGTTGCCTAGGGTAATAGTAAGGTAAATTCGGTCTTGAAGGCATTCGCTTGGTTTTGTTTGGGTTTTAGGGATTTGCGGTTTCTATAGAGGCTAGTGTGAGAGCGCGCTAAAATGTCCATTATTTCCCAACAAACGGTGGATTTCGCAGTTCTTTGTGCAAGTTTGAGATCTTATTCGCAGAAATAAAGGTACTTTCGGCCAAACAAGTGACTTAGATGTCACCTAGTGTTTCCAGTGCATCCACTACCACGGTTGCTAATACTTCCATACTTCCAGCATTTTCTTGTGAGACTTCCTATTATACCTCCTGTTTGAGGAGCCGATTCTGTCATGAATCTACGCCCATAAAAGTCAGAAATGTCTTGAAAATAACGACTCTTACGCGCACTGCGGACAATTCGTCCCCAAGCCTACCGTGTTCCGTCAGTAGTTCATCCTGGCATTGCCTCTGACCACTGGACATTTTTAATTTGCCACGTAAGTCTTCAAAATATCCCGGTCAATGTAAATACACTCGAGATAAACTCACACTCGCTTGCTGGCCAAAGTGATCGAAACTGATGGGTGATAAATACAAGCAACCCGTGGAAATCGGTTTCGATAAACCCTTTTTTCTACTTGAAAGAACAGTATTAGAAATGATTGCAGGAGATGCCAGGTAATCGGGTACACTCATTCCTTCTCAGGATCCTTCTATGTGCTCACAAATCAGTCTTATTCTTACCGGTTTCATTCAGGCAGTGGTTTCAACTTCAAGGTGGTTTAAGACTGTCATTTTTAAGTCTATTAAAACCAGTACTAGTATTTACAGCTTTCGCCAGGTATTAGCCAGTTCATAAATATCACCCGATTGTCTTCCGCTCATTTTGAGGACCTTTTCATAGTCGAAGTATTTCACATTCTCATCAAAATCTTGATGGTTAGTTTGAGCAATTCGTTGATAGTAGGAAAAGAGGACATCCCATGCCATAAGGTGTCCAATTCTAATTATCCAATCACAAAATTTTTATCTCCTGAATGTAATTTTATCATCTAAAGAGAAAGTAGAGCCCGCGGTGATTTAACTGCGAAAGCTCAGATGACCCAGAACAATTAGTGGCCCCATCGTCATTCCAAGCGCTTCTGAAGATCTCGGAAAAAAACAAGTTGGATCAATCTCCCAAATTTATGGCGAAACAGCTTTTGTCCAAGGAAAAATAAATCAACTATCTACTACTAATTGTTCTTATAATCAGCATATCTGTTAAGATGTGTTAAATAGCGGGGTCATCGCCTTGGATGGCTTTGAAGCAGAACCTACCTTTAAAGCACTTACATGATTTCATTCTAATTAGTTCCAACCTCTCTGAGTTTGAGAGCACGCCCATTTTAGTCATTAAATAGCTATTTCATCTTTGCTTATTGCAGTTTTATAGTTCATCGAAATTTTCGATTTTTTTTAGTAAAAATCAAATTCTGTACGCACTGGCAAACAGGTAGTTCGCATTTCTTTTAACTATGAGTCTCAAGGAAAATGTTATTCAAAAGTGTACATCTATTTCATAATAGAAGAAAACGGTTTTTGAAGTCACCTGGAACGCTATCAGCGAAGCATCTTGAAGAAGAAAAAAGGCAAGGGATTTCGACCTCAAATCGGAGAGAATTTGGTTTAATGCATGATTATTTTGTAAATATCCTACTTTCTCCCCCGCGTTTCTGTCACCCTCAGCCCAACAAATCATTGGCACTATTGTTTGTGAGCATTTTGCAAGAGGACGCTTCTTCTGTGTATAACTTCCTTCTAGCTCCTATTTTAATCACTCATTTCTATTGGTCTTTAAGGCTGATGAGAATCAAGCGCTTTTTACCGGTGTATTGACCAAGTGAACATAAACTGAAAGCATAGAAAAGAAAAAGTGAACTTTTCGAATTCTAAGAAAAAAATTATTCTTGGCTAATAGCATGGATATTTTCGCTAATGACATACTATCGACAAAATTGTGCAGATTCCACTACCTGTAGTAATTCAACCTTTTAATGGTTTCTCATTCTTTTCTACTAGGTAAATGAGCTCAATTCTCAGATTGATATAGCTGAACGCAAAGCAATGCGACGTGAGGAATTAATGGTTGATCTCAAAGAGAAAGTGGAGAGAAGCGTTCTTCGAGAAGCAGCTCTTCGAGCTGAACTCAAGGAGGCAGAGTGTCGATGCGCTGACCTGGAAACCAAGGTACTTTGCCACCCCTCCCCCCTCCCCCCCACCTTCCTTTTCTTGAAATTACCTCCAAATTTATTCAATTAATTAGTGTAAGACCGTTAAATGATTACTAAGATCAACTCAGATATTTACGATCCAATTCTATCCACTTAGTTCCATCTACACCATTGATTTAGTCTGAAGAATAGAACGCTTTCTAATTAATTATGATTGCCTCCTCGTTATATCAAAATCGTTCTCACTGGGTCACCCAATTCATCTATTCGAGATAATATCTGGAGCCCCTCACTTCTAAAAAAGTTTAATACCTCCTCAAGTTGGGAAGTTAAAGAATGCTTTTTCCAGATATCTATGAATATCAGAAAGCTAGACGCACATTTTTAGTACGTTACTGATCTATTGACGTGACGTTGAATCACATTAAGCCTCCTGTAATGGATGACTTTAGTCTGTTATTGACCTCTGACGCATTGAAATCTGTGACCAGATCAACAAAGGATTCCTTCATTGCCAGTACCCTCATACAAAAAGACCAGTTACGTATCCGTAAGTATCTGCTGAAAGATAACATTTATTACAACTTTTAATTATGGATCCAGTTGGATTCAATAAAAGAGAAAGTCAATAAGTTAGCAATGAAATCAGATCATCCCATATCACACATTAATTTAATTCTCCTTATTTTAACGCTGGGAGATCAGTGTTTATGGGTTACTCTCATAGTTTACTGTGTAATTCCCCATTGTTCAAGTTTACTGAACTGGCTCCCAAGGTCATGCTCAATATATCCATAATCGTCCAGCCATACAAGACCCACTTCTTCCCTTGCCAGCAGTCATACGGGAGGTGTCAATTGTTTTCCAGGACCCTGTTCCACTAGTTCCTCGATCCTGATTGGACCCGATTCAAAAAAACATTTCAGTTGGGCTAAAATCAGTATCGACATAGATTTTCTTGTATCTTACTCTAGTCTAATCTACCCAATCCCGTTGTCCATGAAGGACTAATGACCCCAGTGGATGAATTGATGTACTGCTACAGTACGCATGAATTGAAGATATCCAAATACGATAAAGACTACGTAATTATTGGAACACTCCCACACGAGGTTAGATGATAAGAGCTCGGTGTTGATCGATCTGCTTACAGTTTGCGGAAGCCAATGCCACTAATGAAATCTGGGCAATAAATTGGAATACAGAATTCGAGTGCCCATGATACTACTCCTCTCCACATAATGGTTGTCTAAGTTGATCTGAATGTTTACTAAGTCTTATTCACATTTTTAGCGCAAATCCGACGCAATTTTGTGGCGAATCCGGGAAATCGAGCTGTCCTCCCAGATAGCCGAACTTCGGCAGCACTTCTCGGAATTGGATTGCCTTCACGATGTAGAAAACGCATCCATTACCCTCCAAGGCCCACCTCCAAGGGGAAATATTGACGGATCTCCACTGTTGAGTGCTGCTTCTTCTGCTGCCCCAACACCCGCTGAAGTTCGCAGACATCCATCTGCCAGAGTTCCATCTATGACTGTTGGAAGCGAGCGTTTCTCCTCTATGTGGAAGGATTTTCCACCGGCAATCATGACGGATTCCATCGGTCCACTGGAAGACCTCTGTATCATACCGGATGACCCCTTGATCACCAGTATTTATGTCCAAGAGAGCGCCTCAAAGCAAGTGGGAGAGGTATAAACGCAACGCCCCACCTCCCCCTCCTATCGAATTGAACAGTCTTTCATACATTTCAGTCTATATACTCATGCACCTATCAAATCTTCCATTCACTTATGTTCCAGCCTCTATCAACTCTACCGGTTTTGAATGTTTCACCTTTATTTCTCTGAAGTAAGATGAAAATTTTGTTGCATTTTAAGGAAACCTTTTTTTAAAGAAGCTTAAAATGGCATAGCTAGAGCATAATTCAAAGATACTAAAAGATAGAGCAACTAACAAAGCATGAATGACAACCTTTACATAAGCTCAGACTAATTACACAACAAAATTTCGTCCTGAGATTGCAATCTCTCGGTGTTATAGCTCACGATTTTATTACATAGTGAAACCAACACGTAATTTGGGTGTTTTGGGATGAGGATAGCTAGTAAATTTTTAAAAAAACAGATTTTAGCTAATTGTTATCCAGAAAGGGAGGAGCAGTGCAATCGCACTTTACATTATCTTGGAAGCTAATAGCCAACAGAATTGAACCCATAAGGTACCATGAAATTAATTGTGTAACTATATTCAAATCGCACTTTCAATACGAAAATAGTCTTTTGTTGAGTTGGTGGGCAAAATAATAAATGGTAAGTACCACAAGGCTATCTTGCGAGTCAGAACAAAGAATCACAATTTGACCTAATAAAATTCCTCAAGACCACACACATATTTCCAGACCTCAAGGTGCAACGAACTTAAAGTTCGAACAAAGGAGAAACAGTGGACAGTGGCACTCTCCGACATACCCGACTGGCCAAGAATCGAAGCCGTTGCTGAGTTTAGACTACGTACCAGACACGATTGCTTGGCAAAACACCTTCACAGATTGGGAGCATGCACTCAACCCACATGCCCCCCCCCATGTAACCTACAGGAGGAAATGGAGAAGACCCACCTGATTCGGTGTCCAGCCCTGAAGACAACGACGGAAAGCCAGGATACTGGGAAGCAAGAAGACAGCTAATGAACTGCTATATATGTACCCCCCCCCCCCCCCCCCCCCCAACCTTGGGGGAAGCTGAAGTCAAAGTTTAAGGGCTAATGATAAATATCATAAAGCCTGCCATTTGAAATAGATAAATATTTCCAAAATACGAAGCCCAGGAGTTAAGTAGGACCACGTGGTTAAGAAGGAGAGGTAACTAAAGTATCGAGCATATGCACAGAATAGAAATTTGTTAACGAGAGAGTTGATCGATTGTTTGATGACAGTCAACAAATCAAGCGCGCAAATTCGAATACTTGCGTGCCACATCTTAAGACTGACCTAACTAGAAATTCGTCATTTTCCAACTCTTATTGATAAGAATCAATAAGTGCCATTTCCAATAAGTCAACATTAATATACACGTCGGCATAATAAGATATGGAAACTCGATAGACATCAATGGAAACGAAAGAAGTGATTCTTAACCTGGTAGTAATAGTCCAATATAAAAATTTGTAACAACGTGAGTAGAAGTAAATTGCTCAACCGAAAAGAATAATTTTATTCAAATAGAAGTTTTTTGATAAAATATCTAAAAGAATTGAATGAAAAAAAGAGCGTCAGTGAGATACAGAGCACATAGAAGAGTGATCGTTTCAAAGAACAAAAGAGCCTATTTTATTGTGAAAGACAGCCAGAGTACCTGCGCTACACAACCTGGAAAACAAGCCGGGAATTTAAAGACCACAAAACCACAAATCAAAAAGCATTTTACAATACCTTTTATGATCAAACATGTACACATAGTTTTTGAAAATATACTAACCAACAACTAGAAATATAAATTAGTTATTTGAGGGATAAGCACTGGCTGCACGGGAAGGAGCGAAACCAAGGATCTTTTGAATATTCTGAAGAACAAAAAAACTGTGTTAAAAAACAACGACAAAAAATGTTTGAATATAAGTGCAACAAATGCATACCTGACGGATAGTCATTGTACAGATAATATAGAGGAAAATGAAAGAGCAATCTGTGTAATCGTTACCGTGAAGATTTCTGTGTGACATGCTTTGGAACCAGGAAATTGGAATAAATGGAAGCTTGCAAACAACACGACCATCGAAGCTGCAATGAAATTACCATTAAAACCGATATTTAAACATAAAAATTATAATAATCAAAAAGCTTAACCTTACACAGAATTACAAGCGCTCAAAACAGAGGTGAAAATTATGCCGGTTGCAAACAATGACTTGAATTTAACTGCTTGAAGATCCCGAGTAAAATTTTTAAGACGTTCCTCTTGTTTTTCTGAATTTAAATTTAGAGAAATAAGCATAAATGGAGTTAAAAGGTGCCTACCCAACCGCTTTTTAGCAGATTTATCCAGAATAGTTTCAGATGTAGTATCACGCTTTCGTTCCACTATAAAGAAATATTGAAATAAGGTAACAAAAACTAACACTTTTTCGTGTGCTTGTCTACTTCTGATGTGAGTTTCTTGTATTTATCCGTCCGGTAAACAAGAAGCCATGTAATTCCTAAAAGCAAACGTTATGCTTAGAATGATAAGGGATGGAAGAAACAAAATGAAAGAATTTTAACAAGGAACATCAATCGTAAACTAGATTTCATTATTACCTTCACCAAGAACAGCGGTGAAAATGGCCACAAAAATAATGCTAAGCGTATCTTCCAACATGACACAAAAATAGGAATACGTGCAATGTAAATACACTGAAAGTGGCGCTAGAGAAAATAATATATAAAACTGAAGTATTCCCACATTCATTCCAAAGGTAAATTTTTTAATTACAACAATAATTGTCTTAAGTCGAATCATTAAGCATGTTGATGGGATAAATATATTTTAAAAATATTTTTAAATAGCGTCTGCTTTTAATAATTAGTGAAAAGAGCACTGAACGCCATTGAGCATTAAGTTAGAAACTGTAAAGCAAATTACCAGTTTTAGTTTTTTCAAGCTATAAATCTTGAGGTATTAAAAGTGAATATTGAAAATTTCTATAAACGCGTTCATCATAATTCAATGTATGCTGAGAGCATTTTATTTAAAACTGTTTCGAATAATTTTTAAAAATATCTTTTTCATGATTAGGTCAATATGATGACTATCTGTTGGGTCTAACTAGTAAATGTCTGACTACTATTTGTTAATACGCTTCAAATGCTCTTCAAAACAGCTTTCGCGCGTCCTTTCCAGCGAAGCTTCAGCTTGGTTTATTTACGCATTAAGTCTTTTGCAATGCATGTTTTAACCATTCCTGCACTTTCTGATAACTATATGTATTTATTAGTTGATGAAAAAACAAAGGTAAGTGTTTTAACTTACATTTACTGTATAATTTTCCAGCGAATATGTTTTACATTTTTTTGTATAATTATAGGAATGTGCCGCTGTTGATCCAGTGGAGCCAAAAAAATTATTGGCTGAAGTGAAAGAAAATAATCTTAAATTGGCATGTGTCCTTACAACTCACCATCATTGGGACCATGCGGGGGGAAATAATGAGTTATTAAAACTTGTCTCTTCTCCTGTTCATGTTTATGGAGGTGGTAGAAGTGTTGAAGCCGTGACTGACCATGTTAGTCATGGTAAGACTATCAACTTAGGAAAGGATATCACTATTGCATGTTTGCATACTCCTTGTCATACGAAGGATCACATTTGCTACTACGCCACTACTTCGGATCAATCAGTTGGTTTCGTTTTTACTGGTGATACACTGTTCCTTGGTGGTTGTGGTCGATTTTTCGAGGGAACCGCTGAACAAATGTAATATTACACTAATTCATCTCGAATTTTCGTCGTTATTTGTAAAATTGTTCTCCTTTTATTAGGTATCATGCTTTGATTGAAATCCTGGGTAATCTTCCCGATTCTACAAAAGTGTATTGTGGTCATGAGTATACTGTCAAAAATCTCGAATTCGCCAAGACTGTTGACGGTGAAAACGATGCTCTTTTAAATCGTTTGAATGATTTAATTAAAATGAGAAAAGATGGTAAATTTACGGTCCCTGGAACCATTCGAGAAGAGTTGGATACAAATCCCTTCATGAGAGTTGCAGATCCGGGTCTACAGTCGCGGGTTCAAGCTACTGATGCTGTTGATGCTATGAGAGTTCTTCGTCAAATGAAAGACAGGTTTTAACTTTTTACAAATTTCATTGTGTTATGAATATTATGAAAATCATGAACTTAATTACTTTTGGTTGATTGTAGCTTAAATTCTTTATAATCTGATAGCAAAGCTTACTTATTTTTTTGCTGTTTTTAGAGGGAATAATTGCTGTTTAAGTATAACTAAGGTGCATGTTTTATTTCCATGTATGAATTTTTCGTACTTTTTTCTTGCAAGTTTATCTGCTCAAACTAATGCAGTAAAGTTATTCAAGCATTCTTGATACTCAGTTGCGAAAAAATCTTCTTCGTGCTACAGGGTTTAGTAAAGCAAAGATTTTACTACTTGTTTGAAGTTATGTCTGCAGAGAGCTTCTAACTAATCGAGTTGTTGATTCAGTTGTGTTTCCACTCAGACTATCCGAAAACATCAAACAGTTGAAATTTCTGTGATATTTTAAGGACGATTTAAGAATATATGCTGTAAAAGTTTACATGATTTCGTCACAGTTTAGCTCGTAAACAATTCTTTGACGTATTCGATAGTTTTACATAAGGTATGCTTCGAAGGCAACGCCCTACAATTTCAAGTGATAATATCTGTGTTGAGATTCAATTAATTTTCGCGGAACTCACCATGTAGTGGTTTATAGAAGAACGGATATTTGTGAAAATAGGAGGAAAAGAGGTAAAAGAATAAAAAGGATCTGGACCAATGAATACGCCTACTTGGCCAGTGTTCAAGGAATTAATGCGCACACCAGTGTGCATCTAGCAGTAAGTATATTATTCAATTATGGTCAATAAGCATGTCATAGATTGTGTATTAAAATTAAATCTGCTACGGTATGCTCTGCTTCTGTGCCCTAATCAATGGTTGTTAGCACTCGAGTTGATTTGAAAATTGTTGGGCAGCTTTATGAACAGATTATGGTCGATAATGCCTTCCTTCTCTCTCACTCGTACTTTTAAAGGCAAATGAGATTCGGATAATGCATGTGGGAAAATATTTTTCCATCAATCATTTGTGTTTCAATGGCTTGAACAATATGCTGCTCTAGATCTAATTGCTTATTAATCTTATTGGGTTATATGTCTCAGTCTGGGTTAGTGCGGCAAAGTACGCATATTTTGAGATTTTTAAGCGGATTAGGGGTTACTCTATTAAGCTATTATTATCGGAAAAATCAGACGGAATATAAAACCGTGAAAACTACAGTGGATTCTATGCTTTTCAGCTATAAGGTTTGTTTGTTGTTATTAGCTACTAACTGGCTAATTGAATTTAAAACTAAAGAAGTATAAATTTTAGCCATCTATATTTTCAGAGCGAATATATTTTATTGATTTCTAAAGGCCTGGTTTTGAGTTTTTGAAGACTGATGAACTAAGGAGACATTTTGGGATATTTTTGTTTGAATATGATACTGTTTACGGAGTAGAATTGCAGTTACAGATAAAAGGATTGTGCTTTGTGCTGAGGATTAGGTTGCGATAAAGCGTCTTCGTGGGAAAATAGATTGAAATAAAATCATTATACAACACTTCCAGCGTAATGTACATGCGGTTGATGTGAACTGTAACGTCCAGAATCGGCGGAAATTAGATGGCCAGACGGTGGAACTGAAGGAATACTTTTCGATCTCATCGTATCACTCCATACCGAATGTGTCTTCTAAAATTGAGACCTTATCACAAATGATCCGAAAACATGATTAATATCAAATAGGTCATATTTATGTAACTAACATTTTCAGGATAGACGACAGTCAATCGTTCTTGTTGATAGTTAATGGCATAAAATCGAGCATATACTAGTAGAACAATAACCATCATTCCAAACAAGGTCATAAGTGCACATCCAAGAAATATTGATGGCGACAATTCAAGAGTATGCCTCGGATTTCATAAATGGACCTTATGAATTTCTTACCTTATAACCTGTATTCCTTGTCTAAAGATAAAATCAGAAAATAGACCAATGTACAAAATGAATTCGATTTACCTAAATTCAGTCTCCGTACAGCAATATTGACTTCCCGATGTTCCGCAACAAAAGTTTTTTGTAGTATTACCCGAATTAACAGGAGGGTTTTCGGGGCAAATTATGTATGTGTGTATACCACGTCTGGAACTGCACACCGAGTGAGAAACTAATTCATTCAATAACGATTACAAATAGACCTACATATATTTTCAGGTTTCGTAATGACGTTTTGAAGGTAAGCAGGCATTTGTACCATTTTTAAGTCATTAACATTCACGAATATTTTGAATTTTGAAAATTTAGTACTAATATATGAATGTGATTAAGGAGTTAAGAAAAGCTTACATTCCTCCCTTACTATCCATAACAAAATTGGAAAGTTCGCCGTAATACTGACAGAATGCACATTGTGTTTCAAATACTAAAATTATTAATATTATTTGCAGATAGTCATCAAAATGAAGATCTCTCTTCATATTCGTGTGTATAAATAAATAGATAAAACTTAGCACGAACAAACAAAAGTTTTGTCAATTAAGCTGCATTCTAAATAGCATAAACTTGTAAAGATTCTAGCTTATTCATTTTTTGCGATTTTATTGATAAAATTTGTTTTTTTTATATACATATTTAACAAAATTGGTGTGGTAACTCAGGAAATAAATTAAATTTGATAATGTCATCTAATGAATAATGGAGTCATCATTAGAATTTTATTTTTTATAGCTGGATTTTTTATTCCTTTCTTTAACTATGAAATCTCTATCGATGCTCGATAATCTCAATGACAAATTTGGGAAGGCTTCCAGGTTTACCTTAGTTACCACAAAGGTATAGGGGAAACAAGCACAGGGTGTGGTATGTTTTTAGGAAGCATAGACATGGTAATGCAAAGCAGAGTTTGTTAACAGTTCAAAGACTATTGATTGATGGCCGGCTGAGAGGTCTCTGCACTCACGACTGCGCATGCTCCCCTCGTGACAAGTAGCACGACTCAGTTCGAATGAGATTTCGTTGATCACCCATGACAATTTTGTGCACTCTATAACTATTTTCCCTCTATTTGAATATGAAAAACCGATGCTGACTCCTTTGTCTACCATGATTCAATCTTATATAACAAAATTCGATTGAATGTTTAGTTAGTTCGCGTCTTTCACGAGCATTTATCTCAGTGTTCGATCACTTACAAACTAAATGAAATTTAACTCGGCACAGCCCCAGTATAGTTTTAGCAAATTAATATTCCAAAGCTATTCGATTCTAATGAACCTCGACCATTATCTTTAACGCTGATTTCGTTCGTGGCGAAAACAACGCTGGAATAAATGAAGTAAAGAAGCCCTTGCGTGCTTGAACGACTGCAGAGACCCCTCAGCCAATCAAAAATCAATATCCACATAGCATGATCAATGCAACCGAAGCGATGCGAATAAACGTGTTCCACGCCATACGCTCGCCTATTGTATAACGTTGAGGTAAGGCAGCCAATTCCTACTTGTCTACATTCTTACTAGAAAATCTAACCAAGCGATTCCTATCGTGCTATTATTAATAACAGCAAATTAGAACAAAGAATAGTAAATTTACAAACGGCTATTTTAACGGCAAATGTAATCAGCTTTACATATTCAATGTAATTACAAAGTACTGTAAATCTGAATGTTTGAGAGGAGTAGATCCATTACCTGACCACTTATTGTCTATAATACCCCCCACCTCCGCTTCTATCATTAGCTCCACCACGGTGACCTCTATGTGACCAATTATCTCCACGGCTGCCATTTCCACGATAGTAGGGTCGGGGAGCACCCCTTCCACCACGCCTATTCCATCCATAATTATCTCCGGGCTGTGGTAGATGGCTTCCGTAGGGGTTGGCAAATAACTCAGAGGGTGGGGGATAAACAGGTGGGTAGCTGCTTTGTTGATGGTAGTTTGCATACGAACCTTGCTGGTGCGGATTGTCGTAGCCGCCCAGCCGGGAAGGAGACTGATGGTGGGGAAGCGATCGTCTAATCATTCTCTCCATAGGAGTTTGACCTGATCCCCAGTTGGTTCTACCACACTCCCAGCTACTAGGGCTTGGTGAACCATTAGCCCCACGGTTACCACCACCCCGAAAACCCCCTCTACCACGACCCCTATTTGGGGGTCGAAGGTCACCCTTTGGAGGGAGTTTTACAGAATCCAGTAGCCGTGCGGGAAAGACGTGACCGAATGGATAGGGTGGATTCTCATAGTATACACATATAGCTTGTTGTTCTGAGGCTGGAATATCTGGTAATAGACCTGGTACACCCGAAGGCATCTTTTCTCCAGGAAGACAAGCCCTCGTGGCTCCAACAACTGACCAAACATGTCCAGAGATGCCTTCTGTCAGACCTGAATTGATTATAACTGCATCAGAAGGTGCATCTCCAGAGTAATTCATCACCTCACATGAAGCATTATCTGAATGCTTTGAGTAAATGGCAGTGAGGGTTTTACCAATCTCAGACTCCGCGTGAGCAAAATAAAGCGCTGGACGTCTCAAATTGCGATGTCGCTCCTCATCAGTCAACTTAGAACGACGATCATCAAGGGCTTTTAACAAACGAACTTCATCGACGAAAGGCAGCAGGGCAACGCCCATCCAAGCGAAGCGCTTTCCATTAAGATCCACTTTGAAGTCGGTAGGATAGAAGTCGATAATTGGTGAGTCTGGATCGGTCATTAGACTCTGCCAAGCTGGAGGAACGTGGCTGCGGGAAGCGGCTGGGAAAACGCTCATCAACTGTTCGAGAGGGCAGAAGGGCTTGGTTTTCTTCTTGGAGAAGCCAATATCAACTTTAGCAATATCCACAAAATCACTTGCGAATGGTGCATAGTGATAAGGAAAGTACCAATCCCATGATGCACACCCCTAAGGAAAAACAGATTCGCGGTAAATATTTAATTTTTGTTTATCGACTCCCCATATTAGCCTTAATTCGAATAGACTCAAATGGTTTCAATTCAAACTGATTTCTCAACTCAAATAATGTATCAATGGCAAATGATTCTGAGATAATCAAACAAAAGACAACAATAAACCTATTGCTGGATAGGTCAAATCTTGTAATGATATCAACCAAAAAAATTGTATATCACACGTAAATAAAGACTTGCTTGATAGTAGTAGGCAAGAACCCAGCACAAGCCAATGACGTATTCATGGGCCACCTTGATGCAGAACTCCGGAGCATCAGCAGGATCAACTCCGAATTTGGACTGGTAGTAACGTGCTCTCCAACCATCTTCCCAAAGTCGAACCTCATCACACTGATCCGCCTTTTCTTCCGGGTCCTCTTCTGCTGTGGATGGCTGTACCTCGGCAGCATCAAAGCCTCCCAGAATACCTACAAATCAAACAACAATCCATTAGTTTAGTGTTAAAATGACAATAAGAGCATATTTTCCAATTGAAAAAGCCAAATAACTCGCGCCAAATAACCTCTCCAATTCTATACCAAGATACCTGAAATTGGAATTTAAAACAAACACATAGGCTATAAGGAATCAGCGCACACTAGGATATATGCACAATAGAACAACCAAAAAGAATTAGAGCCAATATGAATTCAAGCAGTAATTTAAGATAAAATAACATCCGAACTCCCAATTATTTCGATTGTTGGAAGAAACTATACAGTAAATAAATAAACATCTCGAGGGCATAGTTCAGAATCTACTCTTCAGGCGAAATATTATGATAACGTGAGCAAACCAGCGAACTCAACGAAACCCATGTCCTTACAGATGAGGCCAGTGGTACGAAAGGGCGAAAAATTAAGCGAGACAGGACTCCAACACCTGAGTCACAATAGGCAATTTCCATTGCACTAGTACACCACAGTCTGCGGTAAAGAAAAAATTTCATGTAGTGCTAGCAGTTAGATGAATCTTAATATTCAAAACGTATAAATAAACACCTAATCATAGATACTAGTCGTGTACTCGATTGCTTAGGTTAAATATAGAAGGTACTTGAAGGTGTACTAGAAGCCTCCAATTGTGAAACATACGATCATTAATCTCATGACGGTTATTAATCGATAAGAACAGCCATTCAATAACCAACTCTCTATCACTACTCCACTGACAGATTATAGGAACTATTTTGATAGTCATCTACTATAAGTGCCCTTAACCATTTTCCTCAAACATTTTGCACGTTCCTTAAACATAATTGCCAATTTAATAAAACGTACCCTTTCGCCTTTTTTTCCGTAATGGGTCTTCTGCTGAGTCACTTTCTCCTTCAGATCTCTTCCTCTTAGACCCAGTTATCGAAGACTTGAGCATAGCACGCAATGATACAGCTGCTTCTTGATTCTCCAGACACTGTTCAACCCACTTGACATTCGGTTGACGTTGCCTACGAGCTTCATGGATGTCTGCCGCGGAGACGCTGTTCATTCGACGTACTTCAACCCTACCGCCAATTGGTGAGGGAGCCAGTACTCCAGATGTTGGTGCGTTCCAGGAGTGTCGATTGCCTATTTTCTGACGTTTGCGACGCTCTCTGCCAGATAAATCGTCCTGACGACGCGATTTGAAGATCTCATCTTCTACTTTGCCCAATTCGGTCATGATCAACTGCAAGATAGTGGCCATAATCAGACAATTCAATGATTAAGGTTTAACATACATGGTAAGAGGAAACAATGGCTGCTTTCAGAAAATATTGTTTGATTTCCGATAACAAGGTGTTTAAAATCTTTTAAGAACACGTGGTTAGTTGAACCATCGCTAATCAATTTAGAATTCACGATTCTTGGTATTCAACAACCAAATTAAACGATTTCCAGAAGAAGGCAGAGGTCTATTAATAAAAAGGCAGATGAAAACACATCTCTTAAATCGAATTTCTTCTAATGATCGTGGTATGCATTTCAAGAGCAACCATAATACAACAGGTACTTGATTGGGTTATCTATCCAATTTTCAAACATTTTGAAGACAATTATTACAACTGAGGTTTTTGATCATACTAACCGAAGGAAGTAACCTTTGTAATCTGATTAGTATCCTGGTCGAAATTGTGCAGAAATCCTTCTCACCAAGTATTTCGTTTAAAACAGCATTCAATATAGGAATTAGTAAAAGGTGACCCAGTTTTCAATCACGTGATTATGTTTTGCTCTTTACATGGCCTTCATTGTTTACCACTGCAGGATCGACACGGAGCATTATAAAGACACCCCTACGTAGACTACATTAATAAAATTTATCATTATTGCGAGGCAAAGAATTTGGTTGCGAAGGCAATTTTCGTACAGCCCCTACAAGTTAACATCAGTGAGATGATAAGCTATGTAAAAATGATCGAGTATAGTTGGTAGATGCACTTGAGAAAAACTTTCAGCGACTTGATTTGTAAGTAAATCAAGTAATGGCAAAAAATAGATTCATCGAATTTACCATGAGATTGGCAAACGAATACCTACCTGTACAACAAAAGTTCGATTTCTTGAAGTTTACCAAAGCAGAATAAATTATGGGTTTGAGATCATTTTGACAAAACAGAAAATAAGACTAGCTTGCCGAGAAAGCATCGATGATGTGAAAAGAAAGCATTTGTTTACTCCAAGTATTTAAAAATGACACATACCTCCCTTTTATTTTAAAGATTAGTCGAGCATTCAATGAGTCAACTTCAAACATTTTCAATATCGAGAATTGTTTTCTAGTTTTAAATAGAAAAGTTAAAATCTGCAAAAAATTAGATTTCAATAACTATAAAGCAACTATCCAAAGTCGAAAAGACGAAGAGAATTTCTATACGCTCCTTTCCGCAATGGTAGACACTAACCGAGTAAAAAGTAACTACAAATGGCTAACACTGATTAGTCAGCATTCAAAACTGCTAATGCATCCATATCTACCTTGTTAGCTCCTCGAAACTCCTGTCTTTCTCGAAACATGACATATTGACAGACCAACTAAAACAAGCTCAACGTGGACTTCATTCTCAATAAGCTTCGATACCAAGCACAGAAATGTGCCCATGTCATCCAAGAATTAGAAATTGATATTCTTAATGTAGAGGCAAGCCTAATTGGAGATAAAAAATCTTACAACCATTTCAAACAAAAACACTAAATACTAAGATCACCTAATACTTACTTGTACGCGATCCAAGTGCACATGACCAGAATCCGTGAGCCATCCACCAGTATCACATACAACAGACTTGTAGAGGTTGATCAATCGATCAATAGCCCCCTCTCGAATCTCCAGACTGGGTAAATGCGGAAGGAAATCATTTCCCACAAAGAAGCACATGAAAACCCAATCGTCAATCACTCTCTCCAAATCCCAGTTGAAGGATAGATTTTGGATCTGCAAGTCTTGTTCCAAATACTGCCGCAGAACTGCCAGTTTAATGAAAATGAACTCCTTATGTGAGGAGTAGAGATTAATCACAAGTAGTGTATTAGAATGGAAACTTTTAATATATACTTACCACATCAGCTCCTGGAGGCATGACAGGAGGTTTGTCAAAGTCATCACAAGGAGCACCGACACAATCAGTCATTTCATGTCCGTACTGTCCGCACAACTCACAGGGCTTGGGTTGATTAGGCTTGAACTCCTCTCTGATAATAGTAAAATGTGGCTCATGAGTTGCTAGACCAAGCATAATCAAATCCGCATCAGCACCACACAAACAATGGCGAGTATTGGCATCATGAGTAGGTGCTTGGCGTTGACGACGGATGAAATCCATGATTTTGTGCTCCCCTTCACCAGGAGAATTTGAGTCACTAAGAATGACTTGAAGATTCTTCCAAGCTGGATGGCTATTTAGACGGTCGTAAACGTAATATTGTAAAGCAAGAGCTAGTCTTTCCATGAAGGGAGTACCTGGAGTGATACAATTTGAATCAAAACGTTCTGCAGCCTGTTTTGGTGGAGGTAACTTCGCGCCCTTTGCAGTGAGTTCTGCGCGTAAACGATCCATTGTTAACTCCTTGTCGTGACCTTCTTTAGCAGCACGAAAACGGCGTGAACGCTGTTGATTCATTTTGGCACGAGGAGCAACTCCGTCAATCGCCATATATAGTAGGCGACGGGGACGAACAACAGCAAAAATGCGATCAATGTACTCGAAGATTGCGACAAACATCTCGGCTTCATTCTTGGGCGCAGCCTTATTTTCAGGATGAGTGCAAGGATGGATAATACCGTTCATGTCAAGATAGAGATTATCAAATTCCTCACCATTGGGATTTGGTCCGCATATATCTAGAGGTTCTCGATTACCATCGTCGTCAATTATTCTTCCACGTTGTTCAACACAGTGAACAACTATGGAGGGATATTTTTGACTGAGCCATCGGAAAAATGCTGGAACGCCCATTTGTATTAGTTGGAATAAAAACTATTCGGTTAAGATATCTAAACTGTTAAATCAGACCAAAAGCAAACAAAGGCGTGCGAAAAAGGCGCCGAAGTAAGCGCCCTTATTGTGAGCCAATCAAATTATAAACAATTATTTAAAAAATATTATTGTATAAAACAAATCGAAAGGAACTACAAAGTAGATAAAACAAAAATTTCATTCAGATATATCTGATTTTTATACATCTTTCTACAAATTTCTAGTGAATAAATGATTATTCACTTGACAGTTACACTTAACATCATCAAATATAAATTATAAACCGTATCTTCATTACTTTCCCAGTTTTAAATAAACAAAACCGTGCGTGAATGCTTTATTAGTTTTAACTCTTCGATTTTAGCTCTGATTTAAAAGTTTGGATCAACAATATTCCTTAAAATTTACTATTTTACTTTACATTGTCATGAAAAGAATTGCCAAGAATTTTCAATATTTCTAGCCACTAGTTTTTAATATTTGAGTGTGAGCTCTTCGGAATGCACTCAGCTATTTATGTCATGAACCTCTATGTTCCCTGATTCCAATCGATATCAACCGGCTCAGTCGATAGATAGTTGGAAAACTTTCTATTATACTATAGATTTTTCAGTAAATATTTATTTATTTCAAATGACAGGCGTTTTGATAGCTACCATTAGCCCTTTAGTTGACTTAGGGCTTCACAGAGGGAAGTCTCATCAAAGTAGCAGAAAGTCGGGGAAGGGGAGCAGAAGAGCAAATCACAGATGTAAAAGAGGCAGACAGATACAAAGGCAAAGAAAAAGGTAAGATGAGTACTATGAAAGTGGTCGAATATAGCATACAGTGGGGCCATGGTATTTTGAAGTCAGAAGTCAACTGCCGGTTAATAGACTTTTTTGCCGTATGAGTATACGTTGCCCAGGGTGCACGACGTGGAGGTAAGTCTATCGTACACCCCTTTTCAGTAAATATTTATTTATTTATTTCAAATGGCAGGCTTTATGATATTTATCATTAGCCCTTAATCGTTGACTTCAGCTTCCCCAAAGAGGGGGGGGGGTACATTTATAGCAGTTAATTAATAGCAGTTCATTAGCTGTCTTCTTGCTTCCCAGTATCTTTGGCTTTCCGTCCTTGTCTTTAGAGCTGGACACCGAATCAGGTGGGTCTTCTCCATTTCCTCATGTAGGTTACATAGAGGGCATGTGGGTTGAGTGTATACTCCCAATCTGTGAAGGTGTTTTGCCAAGCAATCGTGTCCGGTACGTA